TGTGTGTGTGTGTGTGTGTGTGTGTGTGTGTGTGTGTGTGTGTGTGTGTGTGTTTTTGCTCGACGCCCTCCTGCTGGGACGATAACTGATTAGTAGAGCTCCACAGGAGAATCCTGGAGGACATATAAGCAATTTCCTGGGTCAAAATGTTGACAAGCTTTAACTCTGAGCTTTAAAAGTTAAGACATTTTTAGGTTTTGTGCTTAACTCAAAGATGCTTTAATACATAAAGATTGGAAAGGTGTATTTGCTGTCCAGAAAGGAGATAGTTAAGATTATCGATACAGCAATTAGGTTGTGAATGAGATTAAAAAAAGAGCAACCGGTTAGCTTAGATAATGTAAACTGTGGTTAAAACCTATCTAAAAGGTGTTCTCAAACATGGTACTCCAATGCAGATTTGTGAACCTTAGCTCTCATGAAGTTTTTTTTTTCTAATTGGACTGTCATCACCTTTAAGATTTAACATGATAACGGAAGTCTGTACTGTCCTAAATAGATTTTTTGCAAAAAAAAAATAAAAATTTTTCACAACTTCCCTGATTGCTCCAGAATCTGACCTCAGAGTGAACCTTTTGAGACAGCCCCTCCTGAGAAGTGGCATCTGTTTCTACATGTTCGCAGCTTTTCCTACAGTAAAATGAAGGAACTCCAAGTGGTTTTAAATATAAATATTAAAATAGTCTTTCACTATTGAGGTTGACGAGGAGCAAACATTATGATAGCATTAAAGATGTTTGTTGYTTTTGGCATCCTGTCATGCCATGTAGAAAGCCTTGAATTAAAGTGGTATGCTAACTCTTTATCAYAACTGAGCCAAACTAACAAACAATCGTTTAAAGAAAAGTAATTATAAAATTGAGCTTTAAAGGTTCAGTCCACCTGTTCTCTCATCCCAAACTGTAGTTTCAGAATTTCCTAAACGAATTAGGGATGCAAGTTATCGATTAATGGATTAATCTAAAGTTGATTGATCTTATCGATTGACTAACCATTAATTGATAAGCGGCCATTTTCTTAAAAACTTGACATCTCTTTCTATAACATGAAGGGCAAATTTTTTTACACACTAAATTAAAAAAAATTTCAGGATTATTTTAACAATTCATTGTGCCAGCTGTGTGAGTAAACACTGACTGAATAAACAGAGAAATGTGGATTTCTCTCACGTTATTAAACTTATATTTATAAAATATAACAAAACAGGAATATGTTAAATTGCTAGTTGGAAAAAATGAAATAAAGTAAAACACTTAAACCACCCTGAAGATGAAAAACTATCATTTAAACACAGGGTAATATTTTAAGATAAAGGTTAACTCAAAAACAAATAAGAAACATAATAAAATATCCCAGAAAGACGTGAGATAGAAATGAGTACTGGTAACTGGCATGATCTGACGTCAGTTACTGTTCATTAGATTGGTTTACTGGCCAGGTTACATCACACAGATTAGATTAACTTCAAGTTAAATATTTGTAGTGACTGTAACTTTTTTTGTTGTTCTTTCACATGGAGTTAAACTCAACATGAGGAAGCTAACGTTAGCCACAGTAAGCTTACCGTTCTCTGTCGTCCTGCTCTCTTGTCTTTAGCGTCATACCGTACGATGGTCTGGAACAGCTTTCGGTACTTTTGCTTCGAGTTTGGTGTAGTCCATTATTATTGTTGTGTCGCAAAGAAAATTAAATAAGACTCACGCGTTTGCGGTCCCGCCCCCATCGAGACGGCTTCCTGCTCAGTTTAACAGGGCCGTGGTAGAGTAGCAGCGCCCTCTGCTGGATAAAGGTAAAACTACACTTAAATAAGGTTTAAACATGTTTTCAATCTAATGGAAGAAATTTTAATCTAATAAACCATTATTCGACAATTAATCGTGAGTTGATTAATTGCTAGCATCCCTAAAAGAAATGCATCTTTATCTCCAAAGATAAACCTAACAGTGTGATTTCTTTACTCTACATTTTCAACTCAAGAAACTATGTTTTAGTGTTTAGATACAGCAACAAATTTTCTTTTTATGTCGTCTTTTATTATTACTCATTGCTGAAAGGTTAATGGTAATAATGATAATGTTATTGCTCATGATTGTGTGGGTTTGAGTTATTCTTGGCAAAATATCTCACAAGCCACTGGAAGGATTTTATTGAAACTTTCTGAAAGTAATTATTGATTCAACATCTACAACGTATTGCCTTTAGGAGCAACTGGGTTTAAAAGGGACGCTACAGCCAATTAATCCTAACAAACACAAAAAATGGCTACAACTGTCAATTTTACAGATGTTGGTAAAGTTTGTTTTGGTAGTAGCTGAGAGTCATCTTCAACACATAATCTAAATGGTGACATTTTGCACAAAATCTTGCTACATTGCATGAAATCATGGATACATCCCAAAATTACTCTAACTCCATTTTTCAACATAAGATGATCTTAATTTATAACTCTGGTATAAAAGGTAGCAGGGGATTTGCATTCCTTTGAGGAATCCAAAGCTTTTATTTTTTGTTTATCAGTATTATGTCACCTCTTGGGTTGTTGTTGTTGTTGTTGTTTTCTCCTTTTATATTAACGTTCCTAGCTGCAAACTGTTTATTAAAAGCATAGACAATTTATCTCTCTTGATTTTCTGATTTTAGTCCTGCTTTCCAAAAAACCCCGCAGGTGTCGACCAACGGGGAGATATCGATCATCTCTGGAGCCCCCACAGACTGCGACTGTAAGATAGACCCCAACTGTGACTGCTTCTCTGGTGGGTCATATCACAAACACACACACACACACAAATTGTWAAATGAGTGCAGGATTAAATAATGTAAGAGTATATTAGATTATGTCTAATAGGATTAAAGTACTTACAAAAACACATAATAACGTTTGGATATGAAGCCAGATAARTTCATGCTCAGTCTGCTTTGGGAGGAAATTTAGAGAAACCAAAAAGTGGACAATTTTAAAAACTAACATGGTTTGATAGAGTCAGTATGTCTTCATATTCAGTCAGTAAATCTTGCTGCCTGTGGGCCTGAGCTGTCTAATAAATTTRTTAGCAGTGCTGGAGAATGAGTTTTCCTCTTGTCCATCTACTGCAATGGATCCCTCTTTACTTTCAGCCCGTTTAAATTATTAAAGTCAGCTGGAATCTWACTGTCTGGGAGGGGAAGCTCCCACTTCCTTTGAAAACCACCAAAAACAGGCAGAATAATGAGGTGTATGTAGATGAGGACGACATATACGATCAGGGGAGGGCTGTTTATACTGTCACGTTGGAGAATGCAGTTTGACTGAGGTGTTACCTGCATGTGCGTTAGGTACAGAAAGCGTGTGTTCGCGTGTGTGTGAGTGATGTTTCTGTATTCACAGCAAAGCTTCCTCTTTGCAAGAAAACCTCCAGCTAAATTTCAGTAAGAACAAAGCGGAGAAAGAAACGTTTCGACCCATTCAGATTACAGCTGGTGGAGGAGAAAAARCCTCTCTTTTTAGATGATGAATGTTTTAACTGGTTGGTGTGTCGTTGAAGGGCACCTAAAACGGGATAGAGGGAAGAAGGAAACAAATACGCAGATGTTCCTTTCACAGTTAGGCCAAGCTTTCATTGTAAGTGTCAGAGGATGTGATTTTATCATTTAATTCTGCTCATAAAAATCTGTCTCTTTCCTATTGAAAACGGAGGGAAGTGTCTCTGCAACGCCACAAACCAATGGGCTGTAACCATCCCCTATTCCTTGGATTGTACTTTGCATATTTTCAATCATGTCTTGCTGTTAACAGATGATTACTCTCTTCAGAAGCTTTCCGTTGCCATCCCCTCACCGTAAACACTCACACGGGGCCTTTGAAATGTGCGCACGTTCGTCAACACACAAGCAGCAAACACAAAAGGACGCGGAGCGCTCACATTTGCTCGGAAACGCGCGCCCACACGCGTAATGTGCGTGCTGTCARGAGATAAAACGCCACCCTGCTGTCTGTACGGAGCTACCAGAGAAGAGTTCAGTCACCTGACAGGACGTCTGATTGGACTCAGGTCCCTATCATGGTGGTCATCATATGCACCATTTTAAGATCCCCCAAAAATCAGAGTCCTGGGCCAAACTGATAACCGCCTCAGCACCACCATGGGGTCTGATGATGACACAGCTATGTGTGCTTTGGGTCTTTGGTGTTTCAGAGGAAAAGAAATAAATTGCTTTTCTTTTCGAAAAAAWTTTTAAAAAATTGCTCTGGTTTTGTTTTTATCAGGAGACGGAGGCTACGCCCGTGACGCTCGACTCAAAGCCCCCTCCTCCCTGGCGGTGGCCCCCAACGGCACCCTGTATATTGCTGACCTGGGTAACATTCGGATCCGAGCTGTCAGCCCCAACCAGCCTCAGCCCGGCCCTGGTGGACTGGTGGAGATCAGCTCACCGCAGGACCGGGAGCTCTATGTCTTCAGCCAGGTAAACAGCGCTGCGGCTCTGTCCGTAAAATGGTGTCTGCGGGCCGGAGATTTGTGTCTGTGGAAAGGTCACAGGATGGAGGGGCTGCTTCCTGTCCAGCTGTGGAGAGATTCACTTGTGCTGTCAAACATAAACAATGTCAAGAAATATTTATTTTTTCTTTTCAGGTTTGTAAAATCTCTCTTTTTTATCATTTCTATTTAATTCAAAATACAACCAAAAGTTCAATGTATAGGGTTCCATCATTCAAATGATTTCATTTGTTAAAAGTTATAAAAGTGTCTCTTTCAGAATATGTACAGTTAAAATCAGATGTTTACACTGTATAAAAAGACCAAAATGTTCTTACTATTTGACATTAAATCCGACTAAACTTTTACTGTTTAAGGTCAGTTAGGATTCCTGAAATTATGTGTTAAAAGCCCAWTTACTGAGAACATGGACTACTTTTGTTAAAGTCAAAGGTTTAAACACATTTTCTTAGTATTTGGTCGCCTTTAAACTGTGCGACTCGGGTCAAACGTTTGGGTTTCCTTCTACAAGTTTTTCACAATATTTTACTGGAATTTTATTCTCCAGACAGAACTGATGTAACACAACAACTTTATTGACCTTAAGCCACTTTGTAACTAATTTGGCAGTCTGCTTGTTATTGTTCATTTAACAAACCATTTGCTCCCAGGCTTCAACTTCCTGGCTGATATCTTGAGATGTTGCTTCAGTAATATTCTTYCCTAGTATTAGCATGMATTTTGTGACATACACTGGTCCCTCCTGCACTAAAACCCTCCCCCAACATGATGCTGCCACTCCCATGTTTCACAGTTGGGACAACAATCTCAGCTTTGCAAGCTTCTCCATTTTCCCTCTAAATGTAAGGATGGCCGTTACAGTTCAGATTTCTTCCATTAAAACGAAGGTCTTTGTCTCTTTTTGCATTTTCCAAACTGGGATTTTTTTTTAATGTTGCTTAATGGCTTCTTTCTTGTTGAAGTGACGTCTCAGCCCATTTCACTACAGCCATATCACTGTGGATAATAACTCTCTGGCCAGCTTCAGCCAACATCTTCAGAAGGTCCTTAGCTTCTGTTTTGCGGTTTATGCAGATTTTGCAGATTTTGCATTTGGTATTTGTGATGTGATGTCACACAAAGAAGCAGGATGTGTTCCCTGTTGGCTAACTCATCAAAATCCAAAGCCACGATGTCATCATCTTGGTTTCAATAAAGGGTTTCAAGGCATAGTCATGTGTTGTATCTAACTTTATGACTTTGAAAGCAATTTCTAAAATGTTTAGGAATAATTCAGGAGACCTAACAGACAAGTTTTATTCTGATTTWATGCCAAAGAGTGAGAGAAAAACTTAGTTTAAAAAAACTGTAGTTTCAATTAAAGCTGTATTTATGGGATAAAATAAATCATATTCATCTGAACATACTGTTTATTTTTGTGCACTGTTTTTACAACTTTGGTTGCCAGATCTATTTCCTAACAAGCTGATTTGTGTTTCAAGTCCAACTCATTTGTTGAATTGCAAACAAACACAACACTAAACAAAGTGTAATTCGAATTTTCAGCTGTTTCAAACAAACTTTTAGAAATATTACCTTGCTCTGAGACATTCATATCTTTCTGCTTAGTCGTACGTTTTAATAAATAAATCTTCAATACGTTGTAGATTTAAAAAAATAAATCAGAAAATCTATTTTTTACATCAATAATAAAAAAGTGAGCCATTTTGACGAAAACTATTAGTTTGGTAGAATTTTTCTTAAAACAAGTGTTTTTATAGTTTCATTTTTATTTTGCCACAATGTTCTCTGTTTAATGATTCAGCATCTTTATTTATAAAAAAAAATTACCAGTTTCTTGTTTGAACGAACCTATAGTGATTTTATGTATGGATGTATAATATATAATATAATATAATATAATATAATATATGTCAAAAGAAGAAGTCTGAAAACTGCATTTACACTCAAACATGANTGAGAGTGAAGTGGGAGAGAAGAAGAAGAAGAAGCAGCCACTCGTGGGAGCAGTTCCTTCTCATGTCGTGCCTTTAATTGCTTTCTAGCAGTTGTCACAATGACAGCGCCGCGGGGARGGCGACGCCACGCGGCCCGATCCCACGTGCACACGCGAGGCTGAGCTGCAGGGGGAGAGGAGGAAAGTTGAAATGACCCGTTCTCTGAAAGAGAGAGAGACAGAAAACGCTTTTTTTTCTCCCTCCCCTGCCGCTGAAATTCACAACGTCTTGGCCTGCCTCTCAGGCAACAAAAACCATCTGGGCAGAGAGACGTTTTTACAGCAGTGCTGGGAATTGAARTAACTATTTCGTTTATTAGCTGAGTTAAGTTTTATGATTAAAATATAGTTTTAWGATTATTTTCCCCCTTTTTTTTATTAATTGTGCCGTGGGGTTGGTGGAGATACAGTATGAGGCAAAAGCAATGTTGACGTGTGAATTCAGTGTGAAATATTACTCAGAACGCTCCATAGAAATGAGTGAAGAGTTTCTGAAAAACCACTGTTATGGCCCTGACACCTCGTTCTCTCTCTCCCTCATTGTCTCTCTCTCTCTCTCTCGCTCTCTTCGACTGTTTTCGTGGCTCTCTATCTCTCATTATCTGTCCATCTGTCTCTTTTCTCTCTTTCCTGCTCAGATTGAATAGGTTACATTTTTCTAAAGCTGCGGTAGCTGATGCAGTTAAGTGCTCAGCACTCAGCACAGTGATTTAAGCAATTAATTTAAACAAAACACACATACAAAGAGCCAGACAGTGCATTCACACAGCCTGCTGCAGCGTTTCACAGATTTGCCTCAAGGCTGGTTTTTTGCACAGCTATGGTCGGTTATTTCACACTTTTTTCCCCCTCATGTGTTGCTGCTTGTTCACCCCTTCGTGTGGTTTTGTGAACTTGTGGGAATCCGCCCATGAGGGTCGAGTTGCCCAAAAAATGTGYTCGAAAGTTTGTTTTTAAAAATAATGTTTGACACCCGCTCCCCATCCAGATCACGCTCAGAGCTCGTACAGAGTCAGCTCGGACGGCTCGTTCCTGGTGTCGCTGGCGAGCGGCATGGAGCTGCTGCTGAGCACGGAGCCCCTCCTCCCGGCAGGCGTCGGGGGCGGAGTCAGCCCGACGGCCAGCCGCTGCAACATCAGCCTGCCTGGAGACCACGGCCCCAGCCTGATAGAGTGGAGGCAGCGGAAGGAGCAGAGCAAGACCAACTACAGCACCTACGAACGCAGGCTCAGGGTAACGAATGTCACTTTGTTGGATGGAGAAGTAGGAACAAATACGCAGCAAAGCAGACGGAGCGTCTCAGCAGGGGCCGGATATCAATATGTGTGAACAAAACAAATAAATTCCCTCAGCTTTGTTTCACGTTGTGCAACATGACCTTTTTAATTCAGCGCCAAGAAATGTCACTTTTAAGTGCTCTGTTCAGAGAAAACACAAAACGATACAAGAGCACAAACATTAAAGTTCATGTTGTGTAACCTGTTGGTGGTGATGACGTCATGGAGGCTGAGGCAATAGGTCAAATTACTCGACCCCGATTTCTCCAACTCACCCACCAAAGTGAGACCTGCAAATGGAATATTTCAAAAGAGAGACTTTTTTATCTCATGTGTGCTAATTAATTTTTCATCCTCTGGTCTCCAGTTTCCTCTCATTCTTTTATTCTCAAAGCACTTTATTATTTTTATTATTTTAATTATGCAGACGGGKTTTTTTTTCACTCTAAATGTCAGAATGAATTTTTCTAAGCTAAGGAAATCTTTTCTTGTCTCAAACACGCCACCCTGTTTATATTTGCATGTCTGCTGCTTCATTCAGTTTGTGGTGATTAGAGGTCTGTGAAATTTAAAAAAGTTTATTTTGTCCTACTTATTCTAAAAGACACTTCTTTTTTCTCCAGGCACACAACAGAAATCTGCTTTCTATAGATTTTGATCAAAGCACCAGAGTTGGGAAAATCTAYGATGACCACAGGAAGTTCACCCTCCACATCCAGTATGACTCGTTGGGTCGGCCGATTGTTTGGTCCCCCAGCAGCAAATACACTGAAGTGAACGTCACGTACTCCGCCGGGGGGCTTCTGTCGTCCATCCACCGAGGAGAATGGTCTGAGCAGCTGGAGTATGAGAACGACAGGGTGGTGTCCAGAGCCTGGGTCAATGGCAAGATCTGGAGCTACACTTACGCAGACAGGGTGAGAAACTGAGCTAACACGTCCTTACACAGATGACGCATATCAAATGCCACACACCTGCAACTTTAGTTTCTGCTGTAAGGTTGTTCCAGGTATCAGAAAGAAAAAACAAAACTGAAAGCAATAAAAACCACCTCTGTTGTGGGAAAAACCCCAAGTGAAAGCATTTTTATTTACAAAAATACACATTTTAAAATGTTCTCTTTCACTTGGCTGCTATTTATTCATTTTAAGAAGTGATAAACATATATTCATAACATAAATATTTAAAGGATATTCTGGTGATTTTGGAAATACTGTCAAATTGGTAACAATACTTCTTTAGCTTTGACATCACTCACAGGGCAGAGATAGAGATAGAAATTCTTTAGGCTAGGCTAACGACGCACCAATGAGAATTTGATTTAAAGTTTTGTCTCGATGCTGGAAAGTATAGTTTCCTCAAATGATTGGGTCAAAAATAGGCAACAAACAGACTTCCATTTTGGTGTGGTTGCATCTAGTTGTAAGAAAGGTTGCTATTGAGAATTAGGTTGTCACGTCCAAATCAAGATGGCTACCACCATAAACAGGATTTAAACCGGCCACCACAATAAYTTGAGGAAACTATGCTTTCTAGTTTTTATTATAGTTAACTGAAATGATAGTGGTGGCTTGTGTGGCAGCCAAATACCAATCTATGGTGGCCAAGGCCATAGAAAGTCAGAAAGTGCCTTCACACAGCACTCTGTCCACCACCCAGTTTTATCCACTACCAGCAGTAATGGTGCGTTCACACCAAACACGATTTCAGCATCAGGAGCAGCAGGTTTACATACAAAGTCTATGGTGGACGCGCTTCAAGCAATGTCGGGAAGTGCTGCGGCACCTCAAGCGCGATTAGAGCAGCGCGATTTGAACGATCTGAGCGTTCGACGCACTGAGGCGCAAATCGCTGAAGTTAGAAAATCTGAACTTTTGCAGCTCGACGCRCHGCRTCAACCWATCAGAGAGACTCCAYTGTGTGACRTAGYGACATATTTCCYGACGGGACAGTTTAYTGAATGATGTCCACTAACCTGAAACAGATGGAGAGGAGCTCTTTAGCTGAAATCGAGTGCCTGCAATCGGTGTCCTGACAGAGMTATCCGCACCAATGTGTGGCAGCGACTCATCAGACTGGAAAAATAGTCCTGAAAGCGAGCTGTGAGCCTCTACTCTGAATTATCTAGTGAATTAATTATGAATTAATTATCTGATGAACGTGACATGCTCTTGCTCTCTGTAAATAAAGCAAAGCCACTTCCTCGTCCAACATTAAACAGAGCCTGACAGAGGAGGGAGGGGCGGGGAGGCTTTTGCCGTGCAGCGCTTCAAGAGCTGACCTGCGTCTGACCTCAAAGTGCACAAGCTTCAAACTTCAGCGTTGGCTGCGGTTTTGAAGCTGAAATCGCGTTCGGTGTGAACACAGCATAATGGCTCAACCGTTACTGCTGGTGGAAAGTAAAAATGCCTCTTCTCCTCACCAGGATCCATCACTCAGCTCTGCCTCCAGCACAGTTTAAATAAACTACCTCTGTTTTTATACCGTTTGTCTCTTACCAACCTGAATATCCTGCACCTAAAACATTAAGGTTTACCTGCAAACAGGCACTCATTTGGTTAGCCGTTAGCTTAGCCAGGAAATAGACCTGCCCCTTTCCTCATAGTCTGTGTTCTGTAACAAATGTCAGGTACCAACTACATACAATAGACCTGGTAGTTTTAAGTTCTATATGCTTTATTTATTTAGTTAGTTATGAAAAGCCAAGCCAGGGACTGAAGTTGCAATTTAGAAAATCATTATTTATTCTCTGTCTGGAACATCACATGCCATATGCCCACTATGTCTAACTGCCTTATACTTGATAATGAAAAAGAATATATAAAAATGAACAGTATCAGAAATAAGTGTTTTTTGTTCTGGCAGACTGTATACTTTTAAATTGCTATTGTTCCATTCTTTTTCCACCCACACTCAAATAATGTTTGCATAGCTGCCATAATACATTGTCTCATGTTGAAGAAATAAATGTTAATTCTGACCAAGTGCAGGAGCTAATGGATAACTCAAGTGGGACTAAGATAAAAGTTTTTTTTATGGTCCTAAAACAGTTCAAATCAACTTAAGTGTGAATAGCTGGTAATGTTGAAATTATTTCTAAACATTAACTTCACTATCAGTTCTGCATTATGCAGTTATTCCAACTCATATATAATGATGTCATGATGAATGACAGACGTTCCCCCAAGCTTTGAAGGAACTCCCAGGATTGGCTAAAGCAACCTCTGCAAATAAGCACACCGTTTTATGCAAACATCTGTGTAACGCAAAACTGACGGTGTTGTAAAGACGCAGCGTTTGAATGAACTGTAAAGACATTCGTGACTAAACTGATGTCGTTTATGGAGCTGTGTACAATAGGCAAGATGTTAGGTAWATGTACTTTTCTGACCAGATTTCAGAATTCATTTGAAAAGATCTGACTGTTGCTGTCAGAGAAGTGAATAGTTCTTTGTGACAAACCAGAACTCCAGCAGGTCTCAATGCTTGGCGACTGAGTTGTGAACTGAAAACAGCTGTTTCCTGAAAATGGATTTTACAGTAAATGCTTGGCATCCTTTGCATATTATTATTATTATTATTATTTATAAATACAGATAATATTGGCTGTACTGTAATGGAGTAAAACATGACAATCACAGGAGAAAGTTAACTAAATGTCCTTGAAATAAACAGAAATATGTAAGACATACAGTATTATTGATGTAGACAAGGTCACAATGAGAGAATAAAATATGCTATAAACTGCAGTTTTATGAAGGAACTGATGGCAGTTTCTTCTCTAATTTAAAAAGTATCATTTAGCTTTACAGTTAGATAGTAAGGATGTTTCCCTGCTGTTTAAACTCATATACTGTATGAATAAAAAGGACATATAATAGAGGCATTTAGTACAAAACATTACAACTGCTTTAAAATAATTAAAATGTTTATTCATTTGCCTCTCACCTGCTTTCTGTTGTATAAACAAGCAAACATTACTAAAATACAGCTGGGTACAGAAGAGCAATCCTTGAGTTTTTTAAAGTAACAGTAGCTCAGTCAGTCATCAAAGCACTGCTCTACAACCCAAGCTTTGATTCTTCCTGTCGTCTTTCAGTCCATCATGTTGCTCCTGCACAGCCAGCGGCGTTACATCTTTGATTACGACCAAACGGACCGGCTGCTCGCCGTGACGATGCCCAGCATGGTGAAGCACACGCTGCAGTCCCTGCTGTCCATCGGCTACTACAGGAACATTTACACCCCGCCGGACAGCCAGGCGTCGTTCGTGCAGGACTTCACCCTGGACGGGCGGCTGATCAGGACTCAGTACCTGGGAACGGGACGCAGCGTCCTCTACAGGTCGGTTGGCGACATCGGCAGATTCATTGCAGTTAAAATTGCAGACATTATGCATCGCGGCACATTAGCTGATAAAAAGATTAAAGCGAGTGCCTCCGTGTGGGTGCTATAATTACAATCTACCACATACAACCAGCTGTCATTCCAAATTACACAGACTGGACTAATGAAGGAAAGCCATTTAGGGCCAGATTGTTTTATTATTACTTCTCATCATCGTCTTTTGTCAGACACATCTGATCTGATTTACGATAAAAGTTGGAGAACTGACTCAGGCGACCACCTTTGGCTCAGTGAGGATGTTGTAATAAATGGTCCCATTTTTAAGACTTTAAACAGTGAAAGTGACACAAGCTGTTCTCGTTTCTGTGAAATATTGAGCTTCATCAGAAACCCGGGGGATTTTGTGTTTTTTTTTCCTTTGGCAAAAAGATGTTTACTTTTATTAAAAATGAAATATGTTGTACTGTGCTTGAATATTGCACTTATTTTTCTTCTACTGTCTTCTTTTTGTTTTTAAATATATCAAGGTATACATCAGCAGCGAAGCTCTCGGAGGTGGTTTATGACTCCAGCCTTGTGACCTTCACTTACGACGAAGCCTCCGGCACTGTCAAGACCATTCATCTCACCCATAACGGCTTTATAAGCTCTATACGCTACAGACAGACAGGTACACATTCACGTGTAGTCACAGCAACGGAAAAGAAAAAGAAAGCCAAACAACCAGCAGCCACAACTCTTAAATTTTTAAGTTGTGAGCAAATAAAAACGGACCGTTTAAAAGAGACCTGCTCGTTCGTGAATCACTTGTTGAGGACGACTCTGTGTCTGCACTCAAATMGACATCAAACTCTGTAGTTGGGCTTTCAGTCAGACTCGATGCTATTTCATGTGAGACTGACGCAGCCACAGTTAGAAGTGTGAAAAAAGATGAGCATGTTTAAGTGGAAGAGATTGTGGTCTACCACAGATACACGTATGAGACCACCCCCTAGGCTCAGAGCTGTGCAACCGCTTTCCCACTTCTGCTTTCAGAGAATCTGATCAAAGTCAAACAAGTGAACAAATAAATATGAGCTAATCCAATGGGGTGGGWTAGTTGTTAATGTGGCACATTTCTGCTCTATGCCTGTTTGGGAACAGGCACTGGGTTCATTTTTGCCCTCAGTCATAGAAAAAAGTTATTTCAGTTTGAGGGTTTTACATATCTGTGTGTGTGTGTGTGTGTGTGTGTGTGTGTGTGTGTGTGTGTGTGTGTGTGTGTGTGTGTGTGTG